TATCATATTTTGCAAATTCATTTGCAATCTATGCTAAATAAATAAATAATAAAATAAAAAATATTTTACTTAAATTTTTTATAAAATTTTATTATTTAAACCCACGAAAATAACAATCTAAACGTTCTCCGTCAACAAATTTGCAACTTAGAAAAACGGAACTACGATCGAAATGTAGAATAGGTATAATCGTAAATTTCGAAGATTGATCGAAAGGAAACGGAACGCAGAATACCAAAGTTGCCAAACGGAGAAAATTTCGATTCGAGTCGAAATGCAGAATATCACTTGTATGTATGCACAATGGTATAAACGAATTCCAAATTCAAGTAGCTCCTTGCTTTTCTCTGATAAATACATATTAAACTAGTTTTCATTCAGGATTAAATCTTCATTTACATCTGTGCTATACAAATATATTTCTCTTCGACAAGTTAATACAAAATCGCTGTCTTTAGGATGAGTATCTAGTGAGTTAACAACTCCTCTATTGCTACCTAAAGAGAAAATTATTAGGCATCAGGAAGTTTACCTTAATTTAAGGTCACAAACCTAATTTAATTTGTTGTAAAATTTTTCCTTCAAGTAGATCCCAAATTAAAGCGCAGCCTTCACTACTGCCTGAAACTATATGTGCATCATTCGCCATAATGCCACATTCAACCTGGAAATCCTCAGCTTTGTGTCCTTTATACTCTGATAATAAACTCCCTGTCTCACAGTCTATGAGACGAACTGCGCTATCTTGGCATGCTGCTAAAAGGCATTGCTCATCTCGAGTTAATTTCAAAAATGTTACGGGTTCACAAAGGTTATCACATACTAACTCTCCAACACGTATGTCATATTGACGAATGCAACAGTCTAGAGAGGAAGTAATTATTTTGTGCTCATTAGTTTGAATCGACGTGATACTGTCGCTTGCATCTTTCATTATTTGCACAGGTTCTAAGCGACGAGTCCGTATGTCCCAACATACAACTGCATTATCGCGTCCACCAGATATTGCAATTGAAGAGTCTTCGTTTAAACAAACACAGTAAACCCCTCCAGCATGACCCCGGAGTCGACGTACAGGTACGCCTGTGGAAACATCCCAATAGATTATGCTTTTATCAAGACTAGAGGAAACAATATGACAGCTATCACAACTTCCTGCCGCATCTGTAACCTCATCAGCGTGACCACCGTATGTTTTGAGACATAATGCTGTCTTTGGATTCCATAGTTTAATTTTCTTATCAGATCCACAACTCAAACAATATGAACCGTCAACTGAAATATATATATATACATGAATTCACTTACATATTTTACCTAAAAAACTAACCATTGTAACGTACTGCCCGAACAGCACCCTGGTTGCAGTCAATTACTTTACGAAGTTTATAATTCGAGCTCATTATTAGAGCGGTAGCAAACCGTATGTATTCGTTACTGAATAACTCGTGACTCGAAGTACCGAATCGTTACTCACATAATAGTTTGTTCCCCAACTTTTCTGGATTAAACCTATGGCGCATATTCATAGACATATTTAGTACTCAGATCCGTATTTATTACGATAAATTCTCACGCAGAAGATAACGTTCAAAAAACCCTACTGAAAAGGCAAATATAAATTTTAAACCAAAAATTCAATACAAAAACTTTAATTGTTTTAACCATAACCGAAAATTTGTTTGTGTATATATGCATTTGTCGGTGCTGTCAATTAAAATTTCCCCACCTAATTAGGAAAAAAACAAGCAGGGTTTATCACAAATTGATCCAGACTTCTATCAGCATCACATCGATGTTGAATTTGCGTAACTTTTCTTTATCCTAATAATGGAAAATAAAAACATGAAATCTCGATCGGCGATCATTGAAACGCAGCGAGCCACTGTATACTCGAAAAAGCAATGTTGCCTCTTTTTCTCATTAAACCATGTTCGAATCGTGGAAATTTTGGAAGATCACAGGGTTGCTTTTAGCAGTTAGATTCTTAATGCAAAGCTGGAGTTGCATTTAGTTGCATTTAGATGACGAATTTCGTATGGATAAATTTACATTTAGGGCCGGTTGTTCAATGTCTGATTAGCACAAATCGGAGGTAGAAGCTCCGGTTAAGCACAACTACTGCTTTATCGATCACATGCCTGTCGATAGTGTAGTGGTAGTGATAACCAGACATTGAACAACCGGTCCTTAGGGTAGCATTTACAGTTAAATGCGATAAATGTACATTTATGCAGCGTTTTTGCTGCATTTAAAATGCAACATTTAGCACTTTCGAACATATGTTTTCGAAGAGCGTTCATGCTATCGCATTTAGCAAATGTACATTTACGCGAGTTCGAAATCGTATGCTTTTGACAAACAGCCGTGTTCCAGTCCCTTATTCAGATCCGTATCTATTACGATCAACTCTCACGCAGAAGATAATGTGCAAAAACCCTACTGAAAAGGAAAAAATAAATTTTAAACAAAAAATTCAATACAAAAACTTGAATTGTTTTAACCATAACTGAGCATTTGTTTGTGTATACAGTGAAACCTCCCTTGGGCGGACAATCACCGTCAGGCATTTTTTGTCCGCCCAAGAGAGGTGTCCGCTTAATGGAGGGGAAGCCTATTTTAGAACTTTTTAATGTTTTATTTAATTGAATAGTCACTATTTCTTATTTGAATAAAAGATATAGTGCATGTATTTTTTCAAAAGTTCACATTTATGTGCGTAAGTACATATTAAGTGATAACAAAATAAAAATAAATGTTACATTTTAGTCCATAAACTACATAAAATCATAGATTCATTACATAAAAAACTGGGAAATTGTCGATTGACGTAAGTTTTATTTTTAATTTTTTTCAGTGTCAGTACCTTTTTCATCAATAGTTTTCATGTTTTTATCAGTCTCCAAGGGTTTCTGACAATTCAAATAACGAACCTAAACCACTGCGCAAACCAAATTAAATGTGTGCATAACAATCACATTTTGGGCAGGAAGTCCCCTTTTTCCATTTAGTAGTCCGCCTATGAGGAGTTCGCGTCCGCTCAACGGAGGTTTTTGTTTGATTTGTTATGAAAAGAAATCTTAATGTCCGTTGATAAGAGGTTCGCGTCCGCCCAATAGAGTTTTTGTGTCAATTTTATGCAAAATAACTGTCCGCGTCCGGCCAAGAGAGTGTCCGCTTAAGAGAGAGAAATTGTTCCGAAATTTATACTTAAAACTTGGTATAGGAAAAAATTTCCGCCCAAGGGAGGTGTCCGTGTAATAGATGTGGCCGTTAGGAGAGGTTTCACTGTATATTCATTTGACAGTGCTGTCAACTAAAACTTCCTCACTTAATTAGGAAACAAAACAAAGAGAGTTGATCACAAATTTATCCAGATTTCTATCAGCATCACATCGATGTTGAATTTGCTTAACTTTTCTTTATCCAAATAATGTAAAACAATAAATGAAATCTCGATCGGCGATCACTGAAACGCAGTTAGCCACTGTATACTCGAAAAAGCAATGTTGCCACTTTTTCTCATTAAACCATGTTCGAATCGTGGAAATTTTGGAAGATCACAGGGTTGCTTTTAGCATTTAGATTCTTAATGAAAAAATGGAATTGCATTTAGGTGACGAATTTTGTATGGATAAATGTCCATTTAGAGTAGCATTTACAGTTAAATGCGCTAAAGGTGCATTTACGCGTAAGCAAAAACAGCCCATTATAGTCGAACCTATTCTAGGTCACACTAAAGGGCTAACTATAATATGAATAAGCAAGCGTATGCAAACGTGCGAATACACATAAATCCTATTCTGAAACTATAATGTGCTTAACATCAAGTTTCGTCAAGTTTCGCCAAACGTCATTTGCTTAAGGAAAGAGCGGGGAAACTTTCCATTATGGCCGTTCGTTAAAGGTGCGGTGGGCGAAGGGGGAGTGGGCGTGGCACCTCCAACCGACCTTTTTGGAGAGGGTATGAACCGCCATTGACAAAAATGCAACCCTCGACCACCTAGGCCCCCTATCGTTCCCTACGGGCCCCTTAGAAAAATGGCCAAAAAACGCAATTTTTACTTGCGTCCACAGTATTTTTGCGTAGAATTCCTTTGTGCGTAGGCGGCCTTCGGCCGCGCTTAGGGATTATAACCCTTACTACGTAGAATTCTCCTTTCTGTGTGACTTAACTGGGGCTACCGCCCCAGTGATGTAACCTTGGGAAAGGATGAGGTAACTACAATTCCCTTTCTGTGTGGTAAACCTGGGGCTACCGCCCCAGTGATGTCTATTTTGGTTACTGGGTGTTTTATAAAAATCTCTTGTATATAAAAATGTGTTATGCAAATGAATATTTAACATTTTTCAAGCGAATAAACGCAAATGAAAATTGTGATTTTTGGCGATTTTTCTAAGGGGTCCCTAGAGAACCATAGGGGACCTAGGTGGTCGGGGGTTGCATTTTTGTCAATGGCGGTTCATTCCCTCTCCAAAAAGATGGGTTAGAGGTGCCACACCCACTTACCTTTCGCCCACCGCCCCTTTAACGAACGGCCATAAAGGAAAGCCAACCCGAAAGAGCGATAATGATCGCACCTTCCGTACGGAATCAGCTGTTTGTTCTCGTACGTATGTATGTACATATGTAACACATGCAGTGTTGCCGCATTGATATTTTTGTTATCGAAACTGGTAATTTTTTTTCTTTATTTATCATATTTTTATCATATTTGGTAACTTTTTTTTCCACTTGGTAACTTTTTCGATTCAGTCCTACATGTAACACGGGTCAAAAGAATTTCTGGTTCCACATTAGGAAGTGGGCCGTAAGCGTTTCCTTTTACAGAAACACCAGCTTATTCTCAAAGTTTCGCAAGGCGAACAGTTCTTCGGCGTTTCTAGGTTACTATAATTGTGTGATCTACAACAAACTGCTTGATAGTGGCTATTGTTATATCTAATTAAATGTGGCAAAACTGAACTCATGTAAGTAAAATATAGCCTCCTAAAAGACTACACTACGTTGCTTATGCATTTGACAGACTTTTCGTTCATTTTCTGACGGTCAGTTACGGCAGCCTATTCATATTAGGTTCATTCCGTATCTTTTTGGACTAAAATCTGAAAAGTGTCAAAATGTCAGAGCGTAAGCAAAATGCGCTCACTAAAAGAGAATAACAGAAAAAGTAAAGGAACGCAAAAAACCAAATTTTTAGTCCAAAGAATGACAACAACAAAGCTAACGTCAAATAAGAATGGAAATGTATGTACAAAACATATTCACACAAGCACAAGCACAATAAACACTTTCTATATCAATTATTTTTTGCCTCCTTCCAATTTCAATTCACATTTTTTACTTTTTAGATTATTCTCACTTTTTGCATATTCTTCAATTTCCGTTAATTTAAATTCAGTCGAGTTTGACACTTTTCAGGATTTTGCCAGAAAAAATTCTTCTGACTAAATCTGACTACTTCGGACTGATGAGAGTCACTCTCACCGAGTGTTGCTCTCTCATTTTTGCTGTCATTTCCGAGTTAAGGAGTTAAGGAACGCTTTTTGGACTAAATCTGACTAAATCTGAGATAAGGAACGCTCCTATTATAGGTAACCCCTAAAGCTATTCATTGTCGCCTTAGTTTCGACTTTTCTGGCTAAGTACCAACTTAAAACTAACCGCCCTATTCCCACACCACTAACAAAACTCAGCGGCTGACTATTGCCTTTACTACTGCGCCTAATACTATGCCGCAAATTTATTTTAAGCTGTCGTATGACAATTGTCAGTTTTATTGTTATGACCTACTGAGTAAGTGACAACGGCGAAACAATGTTTATATTGTGTTTTAGGCGCAGTAATTGTGACAATAGTTATATGATGAATTTTGTCAGTGTTGTGGGAATAGGGCGGTTAGTTTCGGCTGCAGCTGCAACTAAGTCGTAATCACCGTATATACCTACAAGTATGGAATCCTATGCCCCTTCTTGTCTATTCTCTTTCTAACAGCGGACGTGCCTGCCAAACTGAAAAGCATGATGGCAGCAGTGTTTGACAGGCGCGTTCGACGATGCGAACGCCAGTGGAAGGTAAGATATGGAAGATGGATGACATGAGAATGAAAGAATTATGAAATAGCAGAATGTCGAACATAAACGAATTTCAAAAATCTGACAATGCGAATGAAGTCAAAATAAAAGAAATGCAAAATAGCGAAATGTCGAAACAGACGAAATAGATGACAGGCACGTGTTCAAGGGTTTCGTGCAACAAAACGAGTTGCTGTGTTGAGCCATTAAATATTTAAAAACTTTTTAATGTGGTTAAATTTACTCATACGCTTTTTTACTTAGTTGACAAAAGTACATATTTCGCCAGCCAAAACTTATATATGTATTTATATAGCGTGACGCTACAAGATTCATTTGTAAAAACCGTATATGCTAGTGGCCTAATTTAAAAAAAAAATAAAATAGATTTATATAGCTCTGTACAGTGACATTTTTATTAAAAATTCGATTTCTTAATTTTTTATGAATTTGGGTAAAATATTAACTTTGACTGAGTTACACCCAGCAAAAATCAAAATATTTTATAAGAAATGTATTGACCTTTTTAAAACGGCATTTAAAGCCTTATCACACTTCAGTGATGCTTTTTTACTGTGGGTATTATTCCGTTGGCATCTAAATTTTTATACATTTAATGTCATTGCCCATACATTGTTTTCCGGCGTTTCCTCTGTGAACTTTTTTTAACTACATTCAAAAAAAATTACTAATTTAAGTTTCTTTTTTCATCTTGGACTGGTACATATGTATGTATGTAAAATGAATTTAAAAACGTCATGTGCCTAATATGCACGATGCAGTGAACAAAGGTGGCACCGTCAGACATACCGCTAAATTGAATTTGTCGATTTTGATAAGTCTGATCTAAAAGTAAACGACGCATCAGAAACTTTAAATGCACTGAAATTCACTTATACTTCTACAAAAGTTACCGTTTTTTCACATTTTCCTTATTAATTGTCATTGTATATCATATGTTTTTTAGAATTTAGCACAATTAAAACCCGCTTACTATCGAAAAATTTATTATTGAGAAAATTTACTGCTCTGGCATTTTCTTTTAACATGCCATTCGGCTTTGTTTACTTTTTGTACAGAAATATCATCGCGACTATGACGGGGCAATCTTGTACTCTTTCTTGTCAAATATGCTTTTTGATGTAACTGCTATGAAGCAATGAATACTCATTAAAATCGTTTCAATTCGTAATAAAAGTACATTACATACCTGTAGTCTAAATATATTTTTTAATATAAACTAGCTTTTTTAATTCTAAAAAAAATCAATAATCACAAGAATTATAAAAATTTCTGTTGATGTGATAATTCAAATACAAATTTGAATAGAAATTTTGATGCAAACGATTTTCCGCGATATTTATCATACGAATTTCTTTATTCTTTATTTTCTTCCACGCAAATTTACTCATTACTTTAAGTGGCTTTCATCTTTTTATTTTTGTAAAAAATAATATAAACATGTTGCTCTTGCCAGCTGCAATAGCTTCAATACACTAACAAAAGTGTGAAGACCCAGTGCCCAGCTTAGAATAAGAATCCTAGCATTTTGCCTCCCAAATGTTTCCGTCTGGCCTCCTCAAGATCCATAATGCCTCCGGAGGTAGTCAACACAACGTAACCAAATTGACGAGAAGGCAGCAAGTTGTTGGTTCACTTCCAACCATTACAACCAATTTATGCGATTAAGGGCCGGTTGCTCAAAGCCTGGTTGACACTAATCATCGGTTAACATCGTTAACGACGTTTTCGACTCCATGCATATAACACGGTGTCGGTAACGTCGATAACGATGTTTAACCAGGGATTAGTGTCAACCAGGCTTTGAGCAACCGGCCCTTAAAGGCTCTGTTATGCATACTTGGCATTGCATGCACTGCTATACCATTTTTACGTAGAAATGAAAAACCAACAGACTTTTACGTATGTAATGCTGTTCGTTGGGTAACCGCTTACACGGAAGCTCATTTAACAGATTCCTTATGTGACAACTCTCAAGCAATGCCAAGTATGCATAACGGAGCCTTAATGGGCCTCATGCATAAGAAATGAGTCTAAGCTCAGACTCAATTTTTGCAATGAAGGGGTGAGCCNTATGTATATACCAAAACGCTCAGAATGAATACAGTAGTCTATTAAGCCATGTATGTCTGTCCGTGTACACAATGGCCCGTAGTCATAGTCAAAATAAAGTCGACTTTAAAGTTAGTTGCAGCTTTTTGACATAATTTTCAATGGGATATCTGTCAAAAAAGCTGCAACTAACTTTAAAGTCGACTTTATTTTGACTATGACTACGGGCCATTATCTTTACTGCTACCTTGAGGTGCGTCATTTGATGGTCGCCAATCTTTACTTTACCAAAAGTGCCCGTGCCGAGTGTTGCGTCCAGTAAATAGTGGCAAACNAACTTTAAAGTCGACTTTATTTTGACTATGACTACGGGCCATTATCTTTACTGCTACCTTGAGGTGCGTCATTTGATGGTCGCCAATCTTTACTTTACCAAAAGTGCCCGTGCCGAGTGTTGCGTCCAGTAAATAGTGGCAAACTTTACGAGTGCCTGTGGGCCTCTGCCAGTAGCTGCAGCTGCGGCGGCACGCGATTGTGGCATAACGTTGATGTACAATTGGAATTGGATACCTAGAACTGCATAAGTTTGATGCGTAAAATAAAAAAAGGTTTGGTAAGGTTTTTCGGGCCGCTGCTTAGGCCATAATCGCAAATGCATCCACACATGCGTACGTGCTGGGTAGAGACGTAAATCATAGTTTTCCCCGAGCTCCAGTTTCTTATCGCACTATTATTTTCCTTATCACTTATAATTCTCTGCCACGATTTGCGCCGCTAGGGCGACGGCTGCTTGTACAAGAAAATAAACCATTTGTTCAAACGACCGGTAGGCACGAATATGATGTTCAAAACAGAAACAATGACGACGAATTTTACACACATTGTTGTATTTTAGCGCGAAACGATAACTTTCACAAATATTTTAAATTATTGCCTGGAACATACACATTTATCGTTATTATTGGAAATGCAAGACTTGGCATGCATTTTTAATTTCTTATTTAATGAATTCAAATGAATAAAAACACATGTTTCTAAAATATTTCTCAATTTACATTTTAAAGTTTTTTCTGAAACTTGAATGTAACTCTGTGCGGAGAATGAGAGAATTGAAAATCAGGTGATTTCCGCTGTTTTCAAATGTAAACAAACAAAATGGCGCTTTCCATACTTGTAAGCCTATACAATGGTCGTAACTAGGAAGAGGTATTTTATCAAATTAAGGGAAAACAGACGAAATATATAAAAATTAAGTTGGTAGAGGGTGATTTTGATAATATTGAATAATCTCCAATTAAAATTTACAAAGATCGATCCATTTTAATCGGAAGATGAAATTAAATGCGTATTACAATTCGAATAAAGCTACATCACAATTTTATAATTGGAATAATTTACATAAATTCTCAAATAATAAGTCTGTTTCAAGCTAGTTCTTTTAAAGTAAATTTGTGCATAACATTTAGATATCTACTATTTGTAAGTTTCACAGCATGCTTTCGATAAACATCGACTTCACATCACTGCGGTTGTTCTGGCTATTTCACACAATTAACAAGAAAATTATACCTTATTCTTTTGCATATTCATGCAATGAAAATAAAAATTACATAAAAGGATGATCAAACTTGACATTAATAAAAATGTAATTTTTCCAAAATATCGTAAAGAAAAGTCGATACATTTTCACACTCGTTTTGCTATATCGTAAACTAAGTAGAAGTCTGAAATGCGACTATGAGTAGAGGTAAATTTTAAGTTGGTACTTAAATTTAAGTTGCAACTTTGTTAGTTTCGACTTAGTTGCTGGACTGTGAATACGCGCCTATAAAACTGTCACAAAGCAAAAGAAGCCAGAGAACCGAGTACAGGAACGCTTTCTGGTAAATTCCTGTAAATTCTTGCAACTCCGTGCGAGTTAGGTAACGCAACTAATAATTTCGTTACTCGCATTTTCCATGATGGAGTGAATACAAAAGGTGGCGCTGATGGCAACACCGCTAATCGGCTTTCAGTGATTTTCGCCGCGGTACTTATTAATGTCAAAATAGTGTAATATGAATTCGCCTTGTTTACAACAAACCCATCATTTTGACATTAATAAGTACCGCGGCGAAAATCTAAATTCGCCAGCAACACCACCTTTTATAAATTCGCCTTGAACAGTTTCGTTCCCGCACAATATTGTGTTCAAGAATAATGGAATACAAGATTGAGCCGATTCATGATTCAATAAACAAGGTTACCCTGCCAGCCACGGCTCACCACTTTCCCCTAAAAATCAAACGATTTACAACTACATTCACAACTTTTTAGTCATCTCACCCACACACTTAGAAATTTTTTGTTCGAACTGTCAAAAAAATGTCCCTTTGTTAGAGCTACATACCCGATAAGAATTCGTACTCTAATAAGAATTCTATGCGTTAGAGCGAGCAAGTTAGAAACATTGGAGTTTTGATGACAGTATACATACTGTGAAGAAATGTCACTGCGAAAATTTTGAAGGTAAGGATACGTATTTAACAATTTTATTTAATTAGAATGTAATTTCTTCTTTTAGATTGCAAAACAGCAGCCACTTAGTATTGAGACTTTTTATATGTTGATAAATTTGAATTGATATTTTTGTTTGTTTACAGATTTGGGATTCACCATCAGTACCTTCAACGCTTGCATCTTCATCGCCAGGAGCACCATTAAAACCTTCTGCCCTCAGCTTCTTCATCGCCAGGAGCACCACCAGTACCTCTTATCCTCAGCTCCTTCATCTCCAGGAGCACCGCCCTCAGCACATTCAACGCCAGGAGCACCTTCAAAGTGTAGGTTCAACTTGTCAAATTTTGCAAAGTTGTAAGAAAACTTAATTTTTCTGAACCACCACAAATGATTTGCAACTCTTAGGGCCGGTTGTTCAATGTATGATTAGCACTAATCGGAGGTAGAAGCTCTGGTTATATACAACGACTGCTTTATCGATCACATGTTATATGCATGATATCGAAAACGTCGATAATGATGTTTAACCGGCAAGTAGTGATAACCAGACATTGAACAACCGGCCCTTAATATATATCAAAAGAAAGGTATACCGATTACCTTTCTTTTGATTATAACACCGTTAAAATCGCTTTACGTTTTCATAAAAACTTTGCAACTTTTGTAAACAGCTATATATAAGCAGTGAAAAAGTGGTAAAATTTGGAAAATTGTAACGAAACTGAATTTTTGTGCACCATTACAAATGATTTGCAACTGTTAATATATATTAAAAGAAAGGTAAATCGATTACTTTTCTTTTGATTATAATATTGTTAAAATCGGTTAGCTATTTTATAGAAATTTTGCAACTTTTGAAAACATTATATGTAAGAAGTGAAAAAGTTGTCACATTTTGCAAAGTTCTAACAAAACTGAATTTTTATGAACCAGTACAAATGATTTTCAACTGTCAATATATATTAAAAGAAAGGTAAATCGATTACCTTTCTTTTGATTATAATACTGTTAAAATCGCTTAACTTTTTTATAGAAAATTTGCAACTTTTGAAAACAGCTATATGCAAAGGAGTAGTAGTAATAATAAGCAATTAAGCAACCACATATGTATGTAAAAATATCTTTATTATTAATGTTAATTGTAATTTTTATTCATAATATTGATTACTAACTATTTATATTAGGTTAACAATGTATTTTGAAAAATAAATTTGGCAAAATAAAAATANAGTATACATACTGTGAAGAAATGTCACTGCGAAAATTTTGAAGGTAAGGATACGTATTTAACAATTTTATTTAATTAGAATGTAATTTCTTCTTTTAGATTGCAAAACAGCAGCCACTTAGTCACATTCTTAAGGTAGGTATTGAGACTTTTTATATGTTGATAAATTTGAATTGATATTTTTGTTTGTTTACAGATTTGGGATTCACCATCAGTACCTTCAACGCTTGCATCTTCATCGCCAGGAGCACCATTAAAACCTTCTGCCCTCAGCTTCTTCATCGCCAGGAGCACCACCAGTACCTTCTATCCTCAGCTCCTTCGTCGCCAGGAGCACCATGGGTACCTTCCGCCCTCAGCACCTTCAACGCCAGGAGCACCTTCAAAGTGTAGGTCCAACTTGTCAAATTTTGCAAAGTTGTAAGAAAACTTAATTTTTCTGAACCACCATAAATGATTTGCAACTCTTAATATATATCAAAAGAAAGGTAAACCGATTACCTTTCTTTTGATTATAACACCGTTAAAATCGCTTTACGTTTTCATAAAAACTTTGCAACTTTTGTAAACAGCTATATATAAGCAGTGAAAAAGTGGTAAAATTTTGCAAAGTTGTAACGAAACTGAATGTTTGTGCACCATTACAAATGATTTGCAACTGTTAATATATATTAAAAGAAAGGTAAATCGATTACTTTTCTTTTGATTATAATATTGTTAAAATCGGTTATCTATTTTATGGAAATTTTGCAACTTTAGAAAACATATGTAAGAAGTGAAAAAGTTGTAACACTTTGCAAAGTTCTAACAAAACTGAATTTTTGTGAACCAGTACAAATGATTTGCAACTGTCAATATATATTAAAAGAAAGGTAAATCGATTACCTTTCTTTTGATTATAATACTGTTAAAATCGCTTAAATTTTTTATAGAAATTTTACAACTTTTGAAAACAGCTATATGCAAACGAGTAGTAGTAATAATAAGCAATTAAGCAACCACATATGTATGTAAAAATATCTTTATTATTAATGTTAATTGTAATTTTTATTCATAATATTGATTACTAACTATTTATATTAGGTTAACAATGTATTTTGAAAAATAAATTTGGCAAAATAAAAATAAAAAAAAAATTTTAAGATTTTTTATTTAAAGTTTTTAAGGTTATTTTGAATTCGCTGTGAAGGTAATGCAACCCTGCGCCAGCTGAAGTGGGCAATGCTAGACGTGTGCAGCTATATGTTTTCCTTACGAAGTATCTGAATGAGTGCGACAGTGATGCAAGGCTTACACGTATNTAAGATTTTTTATTTAAAGTTTTTAAGGTTATTTTGAATTCGCTGTGAAGGTAATGCAACCCTGCGCCAGCTGAAGTGGGCAATGCTAGACGTGTGCAGCTATATGTTTTCCTTACGAAGTATCTGAATGAGTGCGACAGTGATGCAAGGCTTACACGTATAGGGGGAAAGTGGTGACAATCTGCACACCGCCCATACAAATGTCACCAGTTTTGTCACCAGTTTTGAAGTGACCGAAACCCGCGGTTTCACCAGATTTTTCACCACTTTTGGCTGGCAGGGTAGATAATTATTGACACCCGCGGTTTGACACTACCTTACAAAAGTTTGTGTTTACGAAGGACAGAGAAATGGCAAGAATGCAATCCCTTGTTGTGAAAATGGTAGTAGAAAAGTACGCAAAGTATGAAATTAGTAGTGAAATTCTTTTTGTAAATTCTAATGTATTTGCAGGAAACCTGGCATTTTAAACGAAATATTAATATATCTACGTGAATTACATAATTTATGTGCTATTTAGCTATATAAAAGCTGCAAAAGGACTCCAAATAAAACTACTATGAGAGTTATGTAATCATCCCATTTAAAAATAATTTATGTTTTAATGAGTTAAATGTGCTTCATATGCCTATACAAATAAACATATTGCAAAATAAAATAAAATAAAAAATAAAACTACTATGAGATTTATGTAAACATCCCATAAAAAATTATTTATATTTTCATCAGCTAAATGTGCTTCATATGCATATACAAATAAACATATTGCACAAAAGCTTAGGGCCGGTTACTCAGTGTCTGGTTAACTCTAATCTGCGGTTAAACATCGTTATCGACGTCTACGACTCCATGCATACAACAGGGAGTCGGTAACGTCGATAACTAGCGTTAACCAGTCATTGAGTAACCGGCCCTTATACTTCTATTTTACAGCAAAGCTCAACTTTTTCCAAGTAAATTTGCAAAGAGCAACACGGTGCCATTGCTAATACCATGTTCTGACCGACATCGAAAACCTGTTTTCGTTGCTAAAACTGGTTTTCGACTTTAAACTTGTGTTTTCGTCCATGTAAAATCTGTCAAACGAAAACCAGTTTTCGCTGAAAACTACTTGCAAACTCACGTTCCACTCATTTCAATCGGTGCCTTCACTAGTTTTTTTCGATTTTTTATCGAAGTGGAAGTCATATTTTATCATCTTTAATACGCCATTTCGGATTTATTGTTAATTGGCTGGCAAAAAGTAAAATAAGAATGAAAAAAAGAGGTTGCTAATGAAAAGAAAATGAGGGAAAAGCATTTTGGTTTTGTTTTTGTGTAGCCTTCAGCCCACACTCCCAAAACACGTTTTCAAGTGTTTTCGTTGTCGGTCAGAACATGGTATAAGGGAGCGGTGTGAGAGAGACAACTGTCAGTTTATCAAACCTTGTATTATTGAATTATGCGCCGATTGCAGCAGAATTTGTGAGTAATTTTGGCGTGACGTCACCGTAGAGTTGACAATTGAGAGAGGCAAATAAAATTGCCGTCTAGTGAGATGCTGAATTGTCGGTACCCAATACTTAAAAAAGGTTTCGGTACCCAATACTTCCTTATCGGCACCCGATACTGATTCTTTACATTAAACCTTCGCTATAATATGCATTTCAAGTTAAAAAAAAACTTTCAGTACTTATTTATATGATATCGGCTAAAACACTTAGGGCCGGTTACTCAATGTCTGGTTACCTCTAATCTGCGGTTAAAGAAAGTTATCGACGTTACCAACTCCCTGTTGTATGCATGGAGTCAAACACGTCGATAAAGATGTTTAACCGCAGATTAGTATTAACCAGACGTAACCGGCCCTTAAACTTATCGCAACAAAGAAATAATATTTTATCAGTTTTAACCCTAGTCGATCCAAGGTTCAAGAAAAATACTTTGACAGGGCGGGGGGAGGGAGAGATTCTGTAACCAGTTAAGCAGAATATACACAAGCAGACTTGTCTGCACTACATGTCAAGTATGACATCCCGTCGCATCGTGGATAAGCGGGTGTGCATACCAAATTCTATGTCTGCAGTCATGTATGAAGAAAATTTAAAATTTTCAATTTTTCTGCTCGTTGTTACGACAGGAATGAACATTTATAGTACGCAATGCAGACAGAACTTCATATTTGTGTAAAAAAGTACAAACCCAGCAACATTTTGAATCATAATAAGTCAATTAATTTTACTTTTTAAACTGATTCGCATTATATCTTTACAGAACATTATTTCGTGGAAAAGAGTAACATAAGAGCCCATGCGAAGCCGTGTAAACGACTTATGTATAAGTATTAATAATTAAAATAATAAATTTTAAATTCTAGTTTTTTATTAATACCTTCATGAAACTACATATATTATATATCGTCACCTGAAATGCAAAAAGACAACAAACCTCGTCGCTGAAATGCAAAAAGTCTTAACTTAAAAAAAAAAAAAAAATTCACTTTTTGATTGGTATGATGGATTGGATCGAATTACAACTCCCAACATCGATTTATGACAAAAAAAAAATATTAGTCACGACTTTTTCCATTTCAGTGACGATTTTTATTACGATTTTTTGCATTTCAGGTGACGATGTGTATGTATGTATACGCATATGTATGACATGTATAGTTGTCATGTTAATAATATAATGCATCTTGTTGAGCATAATGAGAATTGTAATTTCTGCTTCTTAGGTGATTTTAATCTCACTGATTTGAAATGGTCATATTTGCAAAACAATGATATTTTAACTCCAACAAATATTAATAGAGCTCATGAGATTTATTTTATAGATAGTCTCCTTAGCTTTAATCTCATTCAAATCAATACATTTTTTAATAAATTGAATAAAATTTTAGATCTTATTTTTGTTGATGAAAACTTAATATTTAGTTTGAATGAATGTGGTTTTCCGATTAGCGCCACTGATAAACATCATGTGCCTCTCATCGTATCACTAGAATTCTATGATATTTTTTCCATTGAAGATAAAAATTGCGACTCTTTCGACTTTCGTGGTGCCGATTATAATGAATTAAATGTTGCTATTTCGGATGTAAATTGGAAGACTATTCTGAATTCGCAAGATGTCTCTTTGTGCTTTGAATCTTTTCTACATAAATTGACTGAATTATTCACTAATAAACTTTCACTACTACCGCCTCGACTTCATAAACTCCCGTGGTATACTAAAAATCTTAAAGCTTTAAAAAACAAAAGAAATAAATACTACAAGCTGTATAAGGAACGCAACATCATTAGCTTTAAAGATAAATATTACTATTATATGAAGCAATTTAACGTCTTAGACAAATTTCTATATAATAAATATATAAACAGATTTGAATCTGAGCTGAAAGTAAACCCCAAGGTTAGTTAGACGAGTTTGTTAATACTTCAGTAAATTTCCCTCCTCATTCTTCCTTAGATTTTGGGTCTCTAACCTTAACAGAGTTAGATATTTCGATTGGTATTTCCTGTCTTAAATCTTCCATGAAAAGTGACAATGATGGTCTTTCTTCATATTTTTTAAAGCAATGCGTCTCATCCATCTGTGTCCCATTATGCATAATTTTTAATCTTTCTCTTTCATTAGGCATTTTTATTGATCGTTGGAAGATTGCATCCATTACCCCAGTTTTTAAGTCTGCAAGTAAGAATGATGTCTCAAATTATAGGCCTATTTCCAAGTTAACAGCTTGCTCCAAACTTTTTGAAATAGTCGTCAAAGATAAGCTTTCTTTCGCTACTAAGAGCATATTAGAACCTCGTCAGCATGGTTTTGTTCGCGGTCGCTCAACGGTTACTAATTTAGTGACTTTTTCGGAATATTGTGTCTCATCCTTCAAATGTGGGTCTCAGGTGGACACTATTTATACAGACTTTTCCAAAGCCTTTGACAAAGTTTCCCATTCTATTTTGTTACGTAAGTTGGAGAGTCTTGGTTTTCACTCGGTATTTTTGTCCTGGTTGAAATCTTATCTTTCGAACAGATTGCTGTTTGTTGAAATTGAAGGTTACAGATCTAACAGCTTTATTGCAACTTCCGGTGTACCACAGGGTAGTGTCCTTGGCCCTCTGTTATTTGTTTTATTTATAAAGGATATTGGGAACTGTTTTAAATATTCCGAGTTCCTCCTCTACGC